CTGAAGTGGGTAGCCTTTCCCTTCTCCAGGGGATCTTCCCAACCCAGGAATCAAACCAGGGTCTCCTGCACTGCAGGCAGATTTTTTACCAACTGTGCTACTGGGGAAGCCCACAAAAATCTCACATACACACACAAAAAAACCCCACAAAAAGGAGAACTCTACCAAAATATCAAAACTAGGTAACATGCACTCTGTGGGAGCTTATTTGTTCAGTACAAAAGGGATATGAACCCTTATATAATGTGTTAAGCAAATAAAATGTGTTAGTAATAGAAAGTACACTTAGTATTTTATTTTCCCATATCCAAGATAGCAACAGATGGAAACAGGACTGTGCCACCTCTATAATTCTCAGCAGTTCTTGCAATTCTGTTGCCGTAATTCTAGCAAAACTCACTAACAGGTATGTTTTATCAGAAAATTTCTTAAAGAGTGCCTTCAGCTTCCTTATCTCAGTTACCTTCTTCTAACCGTCCTCTTCAGCCTGACAAAGGACAGATAAACACCTACTCACAATGTCAGTTTGTCTACAGATGCTGCGTGTGCATGCCTGAGAAGAAGCCTATCCTGAAATGAAAGTCAGCTATCTGATATATAAATGATGTCTCAATCTCTAGAGCTTGACTTTCTTCTACTAAAAATTGCTTGGTTCTATAATCTTTACAGATTCCTGTCTTACCCTGTTTTTCATTTATCATGTCATTTATTTTATCTTTCAAAGTGTGCTCCAAATACAAACTTCAAAACCTTTCATGTAATAGGGATAAAGTGTACTAATTGCTTCAGGGAATATAAAAACATATTAAGCAGAGTCCTTGCCTTTAAGTTCTTCCCAGAATATGAACTCCAAGAAGGCATGGACTTTCTCAGTTTCATTCATCACTACATCTCTAGCGACTGAAAACAGTAGTTGACAGACAAAAGATGATCAAAGTAATTACCCAAAAAATGAATGAACCAATGTACATGAAAATAAACAACACATTTTGAATAATGAGAGAATATGCCATGTTTGGCCACCTGATGTGAAGAGCTGACTCATTTGAAAAGACCCTCATGTGGAAAACCAAATGTGCTAGAGGAGAGTGAGGAGGCTTGGGTGACCCGAGGAGAGGATGTATGTCGGGGAACAGTGAAAGCTACATTGAATGAAGAGAGTGAGGAAAGTGACAGAAGAATGCAGAAGGCCTAGAAAAGGCAGCAGTTTCATCGCACTTGGTTGGAATTTATATTCTTAAACCATTTTTCACATCCCCAATTTAATCTCTAAAGCAAAATGAACCTCAGAAGATATAGGTCTTAAAAAGTAGCAGGGCAATGGAGCCAATGGCCAATCCTGGGAGCCCACATAAAGGTAAAATTTGGGTTATAAAAGTCTTAAATGTTATTATGAATTCCACAGTTTACTAAAATTAATGGTTTATCAAAGAATAATGGAAAAAGTCACAGGTCTAAATTCACTACCAATTTTCACACAAAGATAAACTCTCTTCTTAAGTAGAAAGTTACTTTTAATATCACAGCAGGGTATATTTAATCAATTTTTAAAAATATTGTAACTGTTAATTATTATTAACTGGGGAATGACGCCATTCACTAATTCTGGAACACCTAGAAATATGCAGACATCAGAAGTTCTGAATGGTTCTTTATTAGGCAGTCACAGTTTTAAAGACAGCTTCAGATAAACCTAACAATTGAGAAGCTGTAAATATCCTTGCTCTTTCACCAAACTCTAGCTATATTTAGTGGCATTACTTTCTTTGCTCAAGAGTTATTCGCTATAACTTTGTATTTATGTTCTCACAGGCAGAATACTTTGGGCATATTAGTTAAATTGATAGATGGCTGCATGGATGGACCAGTGAATGAACCATCAAATGACTATATTCGGATTTTTGAGAGGCAATGGCTATATCCTTCACAAATGTGCATCCTAGATCTTTTAGCCAGACCTAAAGCTTCCAAGCTTTTGCAAACACATCTTTCCAATTGAGTGATCATACTTGTGAGCAACAATCACACTCAGATTAAAATGGAACAGAAGGAATAAGAGTTTGGAAGGCAAAAGCATTATTCTAGGCAAGGCTGCTGGTGGCTTTGAGAGCAGGAGTAGATTTACTGTCAAGCTAATGATGCCTAAACATTGAGAAGCCCCTCCCTCACACAGGCCCCTCCCAGGCCCATAAGGAGCCCTAGTGATGGGTTCACATGGTCGTTGCTTCTATACAGTTTGCCAAAATCAGGTTTAATAGAATTCATCCTCCCAAAGAGGACCCTCAATGTAAGTTTTGGGCCCCACCCCACCTTGGTCTGCCCTGTAGGAAGAGGCTGGTCACAGGAGGAATGCTGGTTCCTGAGACAATTGGCAGGGCAGGGGGAACAGGAGCTTGGGATGCCTGTCAAATTTCTGGGTCGCTTTATCGTTCTTTTTTTAAAACACCAGTTCCTAGGTTCACGGTTCTCATATCACGATTTTCCTTTCTGCTTTTACATCTTCCTTGCAAATGAAGTCACAGGAGACATTCAGCTGTTACAAACTTCATGTCAAGCTTTGAAGTGCTTTTTAATAGCAGAAATATTTGGCTCACGTGTGGGCTTTATAGCTATGGTAAATACCTCTTAGCTATCTGTCGCTACTGTTATTCAACACCTCCAATTTGGAGAAGAAATTCTGCATATGCATTGAGGCACTAAAAAAGAATATTGAACTATATCTTAGCTCTTTTGTGAATGATTTCCTTTTATTTCATCTCGCATGGAGCTAATGCTTTCATCATATTGTACTGGTTATGGGTGGGAAAACAGTAGATACACAGGGATTCTGATTATTGCATCATTGGTTGGCAGTTTCCTCTTAGCTTCTTGAAGGTTAAGTGGTCAAGTAGCTCCTTAATACAAGATCAAGGCATTTCAAAGACTGACTCATTCACTTGCTTTCTGGCAAAGTGCTTTCGTAGACTTTGGACAAAATGCTTACAGTGGTTTAAAGAGAAGAAACTGACCACAATGAATATGAAATAAAGACAGAAAAAAAAAAATCTCCTCTTCTTGGATGTCCCGGTATGACTACTGACATATAGACTAGATGTCCAGGTACATCTCAGAATGATATATTAGAAATAGTATTTTTGAGAACACCAAATAGAAACAAAGGCATTTTGCATATAACCTGTGTTGAACAATAACATTTTGCTTCTTTATGTAACTTCATTATTTTATGAAGGGATATAGAAAATCCTACTGCACTCCATAAGTTAAACACTTGACATTTTTATTCCACCAAAATGCAACATTTTTGAATTCTAGATATGTTTATTAATTAGTGATTATTAACACCCAGTAAACAACATTAGGTCTTGTAAAAACACAATCTCTCTTCACAGCATGATGCTGAAATCTATTATTCCCTGATTCCATATGCTGAAATACACTCAAATGGTCACAAATGACCTTAAGCATTAAATAAATGTAAATGAGGACAACACAGAAAATGTGCTTTTGATTGATAACTAAAAGACCAGGTTGAAAATCACGTCCAAAAATGAAGTCCTCCACTGAAGGGTATGGCAGTCTGCACTGTGAAATAAAAGCTGTCCTAAGAACGAAGAGCACCCAAGTAAAAGAGCACTGTTTTTCTGAACCTACTGGAAACAGAACTGGCTGTTCATTTATTTGAGAAACACAGAGCATAGTGCCCCCATGCCATCAGCCTCCTGTGAACATTCTAATACCACATTAAAAAAACAAACGCAGACACGTTACACTCACCAGCTAACAGGAGAAAAAAAAAAGTTACTGCTACTCCATATCCTCATCCCATATGCTCTACACTTCAGTTTTTAAGCATCGTTGCTGTTTGCCCGGGCTTCCTAATGGCTCAGTGGTAAAGAATCTACCTGCCAGACAGGAGACATGAGTTCAATCCCTGGGTTGGGAAGATTCCCCTGGAGGAGGAAATGGCAACCCTAGTATTAGCACTCTAGTATCGCCTGAGAAATCCCACGGAGAGAGGAGTCTGGTGGGCTCCAGTCCACCGGATTGCAAACGAGTCAGACACAACTTAGCAATTAAATAGCAGCAGCAGCTGTTCACCCACCTTTTCTTTTTCCCCCAGGCTGAGCAGAGTGGGGGGTGGGAAAGCATCCTCAGACAGAGAAAACTCAAAATGTCAAAGAATGACGAATTGACAGTAATTAAAGAATTACTTCAAACTTAGACTGTTCTCCCAATAATGTCTGTGGTTAAACACGTAAAAGAAAAATGCACAGATACAGATATTTCTTGTGAAAACTACTAAATGGATATTCATTACTTGAGGGCAAAATTAAAATGTAGCATCATAGTAGTGATGCTTTGGTTGAGGGTAAGCATTTCTCCTAGTTTCGATAAGAGGGCAAAGCTTCTGTTTAGGGAATGAATACCTAGACCAGTTTGAAGTCATAAAATAGAACAGGGTTTCTCAGTCTTGGTACTATTGACATTTTGAGCCAGAGATTTCTTTGTTGGGGGTGGTGGTGGGATGTCTTGAGCACTGTAGGATGCTTAGCAGCATCTCTGGCCTCCTTCCACTAGATTCTAGTAGCAACTATCTTATCCCAGTTATAGCAGTAAAAAAGTCCCCAGGGGAAAACTGCCTCCCCCAGTCCCCCCACCCCCCAGGTTGAGCATCAGTGAAACAGATCCATTCACAAGGAGGTCCCAGGCTGGGCTTCTCCCAACCTCACAGTGTACTCTCTCAATCCTTAAATCACTCCCAACCCAGTGTTTAACATAGCTATCTTTCACTTTTCTCATCTATTATTTGTAGATAGTGAAAATGCCTGCCTGCTTCATTACAGATTGTGAGCATTAAATAAGATACTTTTAAAGTGCTTAAGACAGCACCTGACCCACAGCAAGTGCTTAATAAATGTTATTATTAGTTTTAATAATCACCCATAGTACCGAGAAAAGCAGTTTTAACTAGAGTGTTTCAAGGCAAAAAGGTATCTTACCAGCTTGATAGGTTCCCAGTCTTAAACACACCAGCCTTCTGATTCCTTGCGATGATGTCTCTCACATCTACAGGACACAGTTAAGAAAGCTTCTGCAGTGACTGTCAACCAACTCCCCCCAGTCATACATGGGATCAGCTGGGTGAAAACAGCTTTGTAGTGTGTGAGGCAAGAGGAGACAGGTCTAGCACTGACTCTGCAACCCAGTGCTGACTTTCCTGCCACAGGCAAGCTCTTTTAACTCCCTGGACTGTAGCTTTATCACCCGTGAGACAGACATTCAAGGAGCTCATGACAAGACAAGGCCCAGCGTGATAGGTACCGGCCAAGGGAGACGACTGTACCACAGGGGCCAGGCCCCGATTGCTTTAAAGAGCTAGAAGCCCCACGGGAAGCCTCTTTCGGTCAGTGAGGACAGCAATGGCAGTTTTCTCAGACTCTCCAAGTTGAAGTATTCCCAACCTCTTAAAGAAATGCCAGTAGTGAAAGACTTGGGAGGGGGAAAGTGAAATGAGAAAGATGGAGAAGAGCTTGGAGAATCTTTGAGAGAAAATTCATTATCGGGACTTCTCTGGAAGTCCAGTGGTTAAGACTTTACCTTCCAGTGCAGGGGGTGTGGGGTCAATCCCTGGTTGGAAAGCTAAGATACTACATGCCTTGTGGCCAAAACAACCCAAAAACATAAAACAGAAGCAATATTGTAACAAACTCAATAAAGACTAAAAATGTCCCACATAAAAATTTTAAAAAATTTAAATTTAAACATTTAAATTTAAAAAATATATATAATTACTGAAGAAGAAAGACAATTCAGTGAAAGGCCCTTTGAAGAATTATCTTTACAGACTTACAGTTTGGCCATTGGCCATCTGCTGGCATGTAAGAACTTGTGCAAAAAGAGCCATATTTATTGAAGCCATGTTTTGAGGAGCTGGTCCATTACATCACACAGTGCCAACTTCATGAGAGCCCATAGGAGAAGTCATGTCAGGTTTCAACACTGGGAAAAACTGGCCTTCAGATCAACCAGTTTTGCTTCAACTTCTGGACACTAAAAATCTCATAACTGTTCCTCTTTCTCTTTTTGCTCTGGTCCCTGTGCACCTCAGAGCCAAACGGATGATCTACGCTGAACCACCACAGTGCTCCTCCCGCGGCTTTTCTGTACTGGTCCTCTTCCTGCCTTCAGGATGTTTGCTTGGCTTCTACTGGCCAGCTGCCCTTGCTTTCTCGCTTATTTTATATGGTATAGTCTATGAGTCCCTGAGTTGTTTTTCAGTCCCTAAGTCATTTCTGACTCTCTGTGACCCCATGGACTGTAGCACGCCAGGCTCCTCTGTCTTCCACTGTCTCCTGGAGTTTGCTCAAATTCATGTCCATTGAGTCTGTGATGCCCCTGTAAGAAGCCTCAGAATCCCTATTTCGGAATAAGGCGAGGTTTAAATAAACAAGAAATAAAATAATTCCAGTGAAGGCTGCAAGCTGAACAGAACTGGGCTCATGGAGAGAGCACCAAGCAGACAACTGACGCTCCCCTGTCGCTCAGAAAAACAGATTTCCTCAACGCCGGAAGCAAGCCTGGCCAAGATCTCCCTGCAAGAGCAGAGCCACGGGACATTTTAACCTAAATCTCTGCTTGAAACACCAGGCACACCCATTTCTTCTCTGAGTGAATAAGCAGGTACTGTGATAGCGGGAGTGGGTAGGAAAAATCAATTAGGTCTCCTAATGAAGGGCTTTGTTGAGGTTTACAAAAGTGCTATAAAGCAGACTTTTTTTTTCCCCCTGGGTGAACTTTCCTGTATGCAAATTAAATACCATTAAATTACATTCATTAAAAAAATAAAAGAGACTAATTTGCCTACTTGTTTTGATTAACTAAAATGATACATCGGCCTACGGTTTTGTCTATTTTGGGAAGAAAGTATTTCAGGAAAGTCTTCTAAATGAAATGTCTTGTAGAAAAGGACAGCTGACATCTTCATTCTGAGAACTAAATTAGTCAAGAGCCTACTGACAACTGGCTTTGATTAAGCTCCCCCACATGATGGCCACACCCTTCTTGGCGTTTCCATGACATCCAAACCACACGCTGTAATGTGCCCGCACACCTGTAGCGTCGTATGAGTACATGACCAATCTATCAAGCAAAACATATTATTTTGTTAGTGGAGGTATACTTTTTTATGAAATAGTCACAGGGAAGTTAAATTATATAACTCGGAAAACCTATTAATAATTTTTAGTAAACATCTTAACACTATATACTTTTATACAATTTATAAGCCCGTGATTCCAGGTGGTCAGGCTGAAGCAAGCTCATGTATTTATATTCTAGAAGCAATTTTTAATGAAAAAATTCACAGCAGTATTTAGGCTGCTTTATTTTTAGAACTGAGAGGGAAATATATTTTGTGGGTTAGGAGGTGTTTTTTATATTAAAACAAGTACTAAGAGGGAAAAAAATGGCAATCATGTACTAAAATATTGCTTTAAGAGATATATCCTGATATTCTGCACCCCACCTTTTAGTTTAGGTCAGGTTTTCAGGTGGTTCCTCTGGTTGGCGCTGTGTCCAATCATAGATGCTATCATTCTTCTGTGTCATTTTAGGGTAATAAAGGAAATTCAATCAAATTGAGTCAATCTGTCCAGGACAGTGTTCAACAGCATGGACCAAAATCCTATTCTCTGAATGCACCTACATTCTGGAAGACTTCAGTGGGAGGTGCTGGGTGCAAAGAAAGTCTTAATGTGATTTCTGATTAAATAGATACAGAGCAATCGGCTTCAATCTCCTCATTCATCTGGGCAAGTGGACTTCTCGAGATACAGGATATACACTTGTGGCTAAAACCAACCAGATTCTAGAACTAGATTTTCTCTTCAAACAAAGCATAGTTCAAGAATGGGGCTCCATCTTAATTTTGCTGTATTTTATTTTTATCCTTAAATGTGTGTGTGTGTGTGTGTGTGTGTGTTTGTGTATATTTGTATAATAATAGTTATTTGAACAAATTATATATATATGTTATATACTAATTAGTTAAGCTAATTATATATAAATCTTGTTTAAAATATTAGCCTCCTCCTACAGTTAGTGATTATTATGTTTATCAGTAGCTGATACACATTTTGAGAATTGGCATTGTATAAGTATTTTTATAATAATAACACTGTGCTTTGTGAAGCATTATTTTCTTGGTTTCTGCTACCTTTAGTTTCATTGCATGTCAAAGGTGAGGGTAGGAAGCTATGAAATTATAAGATAATTCCTGTTCATTTTGATCTCTGGAGGGTTTTAAAAATGCTTGATATGGCAATATTTGCTAATTTAAAGGCTGTGAAATATTCTTGAAGGTGCTTATTACTCATGAATTGAGAGTACCATCTAGAGGTGCTTTGAACTCTGTTAGCAATGTCAACTGTTACGTTTATAGATGAGAAGTCTTCTCTTCCAGTGCAAGATGATACAAAATCTTTCTAGTTTTCGGTGAAACAGAACAGTTTAATGAACGTGACGGGGAAGCTATGAAGTCAAATGATCCTGACTTCCAGTGCTCATTCTGACACTTAGTAACTATGTAAATTTGGGTAAAATAACTTCTCTGAGCTCCATCTCAGGAATAGGAATAATGTACCTATTTTATAGGCTCATTGGAGTACCACATAGTAGGTGCCTAACATATAGCAGGTGCCTAAATCATGTCAATTCATTATCTTTTTCAATAATTCAGGCAAAAGCTCTGAAGGGATGAGGCTGAGGAGGGTAACTATAGAGTGAGGCTTGGCAGGTAAGCTTTATTTTCTTTCTCTGTTGCTCAAAGCTAATTATATGAACATTTTAACTGTAGGATTTAAATAATTGGAAGGAATCAAAGAACTTCTGCCCTGTAGATTTTCAGTGTCTTTCACGTGTATAAACGTTCTCTAGCCAAAGTATAGTCTGTGTCCCCCAAGAACAGAACTTGGTCTGTTTGTCCACTGCTGTATCTTTAGCACTTGAAATGTCATGCAGTTAATAGTAGCTTAATTCATTTAATTAATTACTTAGCTTCATTTGTTAGTTACTTTCCATTTAATTTTCAAAGCTATTTGTTGAGATCCTACCCAATGTGAGGCAGAGTGCACTTTGGACTATCTAAGAGCTGACCCTGATACTGGAGGAAGGGGCCTGGACGCAGGATGATAGGCTGGATGACTCCTCAACCATCCACAGGCTACACAGTCCACATGAAGCTTAATTTATGAATTATTTAAGTCAGGGAGTCTGTTAAATAAAATAATATCGTAAGCCAGGGGTATCTCCTTTAAAATGCACAGGGGATTTATTCATTTTTGGAGAATCCTAAGCTCAAGATCATGATCTAGACTGTGCATACTGTGGGGATAAGATGCTTGGGTTAGGAGCATGAGGCAGAAGTATCAAGCATTGCCATAGTTTGCAGATAACCTGCTTGATGTTCACTAAGGATGTGTCAAGGCAGGGTCCTTTTGTTGGGCAGATTAGTGAGTGTACCAGAGAGGGTTGCTCATCTGAGGTGTTGTACTTCTGTTCATTATAATTCGGAAAGGTCTTAGCATCAATAATAACTCAGTATACCACTTCTCTCCCCTATTCTTATGTCACTGTCAAACCAACTACAGACTTTATTGAGTAATTATCTTGGGGCACTTGGAGGTTTCTTTCTTTATTACACTAAGAGGGCTGTGCCAAAGGAAAGAGAACACAGTTCATATGATTTCAGGATAAATTTGAAAACTGGATGGACCAAATGATCTTATTTCCAATTTAGCCTTTGTTTTCCCCTTTGGGCACAGATAAGATGACATCTGAAGGGAGAGGCAGCTCTCAGTTAGGGAGGCTATGGGCTAGACCCAGTAATGCAGTTTAAGGATCAAGGAGAACCTCTGGGACATACAACAATGAGTCTGAGAAAATATTTAGGACTTATGACATTCCCCTTATCCCTCAAGTCTTAATCTCTTTTCAGATATCTCCACTTATAAATTTCAAATCCACATCTAGCTCTCCAGGTTCAAGGTGGAGAGCTCTAGAAGACATAGCCAAATCCATTTGATATATTTTAGGGAGACAGTAAATAAGCTTACAACTGGTTGATAGGCTTCTATGATATAAAAATTCAGAATGTCTCCATTCATTGCCTCAAGTATTAAAAAAAATAGAAATAACAGATGATAAATAGGAAATATCAGAAAATGCTATTTTTTTAAGGTTAAAAATCAGAATTTTAGAAGCTTAAGAGAGTAGGAAGTAAGGCTCAGTTGGATTCATTCAATTCAGATCCAAGAAAAACAAAAATAATTTTTAAAATAATGAGAATAATATACAGGCCAATACTCAGATGTGATGTGCGATTGCCAGGTCGATTTTCAATTACATTTCACTGATGTATTCATTTGTTTCTTAATGTGCTCATCTTGCCCATTAAGAATAATTAGCAGCTTTGCTTAGAGATTTTCTGGCTTCTGGCAATGTTTCTCCCTCTCTTTTTTTGTTGACATCCACTTTTACTTTTTAGAAAGTAATTTTTGGATAATATCCTACAACTGCTATATAATTTAGGCTTCCTAAAATTTTAAAGGAAAGATGTAAACAGTAATTTTTAAATGAGTTTGTTTCAATCTATATGCATCAACAGTATGTGATTCAGTGAATTCGTTTTTCTCATAGAAAGTGGGCACATAAATAGAAAAAAAAAACTTCATTCATATTAACCTCACTCAGTAAAACAGCTTACCATGGACACCAGTTGTAAGCTCTGTTAGTAAATCAAGAATAACATTAGTATTAAAAGCAGGAAAAACATGTTGCCAAATTTTAAAGCTTTAGGCATGCTTTTTTCTCTTAATTTAAAAAAAATTAGATCTAGTTACAACAGAAAAAGGCACACAAACATAGAACAACATGATAAAAACTGAACTCTGCCAGGAAAGTCCTAAGAGATGAAATAAAACACGCTACCAGTTTTGGTCTGCATCCTGAAAGGGCCTACTTTATCTACATTGTAAAGTTCTTCCCCTCCTGCCCTTTGGCACCCTGCTATATTAAACCCATTGTAAAACGCAGCACAATAAAGCACTCTCAGGGCTGAGCTTCAGAGGACCAAATGTTAAAAATCCATTTTCTTGGGAGGGGGCTGTACCAATCATTTCTTTGAAAGGCCGGCAGAGTGAATACAGAATTGAGATTTCCTCTCTGATTTCAAGAGCTGGCATGGCATCTTTGCTGTTTAAAGCAAAGGTGCATTAATTAATGACAAAAGCATGGCTTCCCTTCTTTGGAAGCTCTGTAGTTTAGCTCAACAGTAATTTTAGTACAATTAAATTTACATACTGACCACAGATGCTTCCCATAGTTTGATAAAAGTTCTAATCGGTTTCTAATGCTATTGAATAAGACACCTGCTGACTTGAGAAAAACCTCAGGTTGCTGGGCCCAATCTGGAAGTTTCTGTGGTTAAAATGACCTCCTCTTCCCCAATAATCCTGCTTTTTCTCCCCCCAAAAAACATCCATTGGGGCTGAGCCAGCATACCTGACTTCCTGTTGCTTTCTGTGTTCCCTGACTTGTGGAGGAGGAGCAGAGTGAAATGATACAGTGCAGGGAAGAACTCAGAATAAAGCAGAGTGAATGAAGCAACATCGCTCATCTTCAGGAATATTTTGGGAAACTTGCGACAGTCTGAAGATCATGATTAAAATCCTGCATTTTAAAAAAGGAAGCACCTTTTGTGATCTCTTTCCCTTGTGTGAAAGGCCAAGATTGTGATTGGCTGTTTTTCCTTCCTGGTTTTTTTTTTTTTTTTTTTTAAGTCTGCCAGGCAATTAGCTGGGTGGGGCTCTGTAGAGCACACAAGTGCCGCTGAACAATATTAGCTTCTGTGCTTCTGGTACCTCCTTCCTCCTGCGTGAGGAGGCTGATAGAGCGGCTGCAAATTTTATTTTCAAAAAATCATATAGCAGAGGTAGAAAAAGAAAATTCAAAAATAGGATCTAGGTAAGATGCTTCCTTCCCTCTTACAAAAATCAACACTGCTTTGGCATTTTAGGGGCCTAAAATTCAAATAAGTAGATTGCCTCTTTCGTAATGTAAATAGAAAGCACACCAAAAAATCCAGAGCAAATATATCCTCCACCTTTCCTCTCAATTTCTAAAGGCTGTTAACTGCCCCTAAACAAATCAGCTCGATTGCTAAAGTAGCCACAAATTATGCTTGCTTTTTTAGTTAAAGTACAGTTCAATTTTCATGAACTCTGTGTACATATTAGTAAAGCATAATCTAATATAATGGGGTTTGAATTGTAATAGCATAGCAGAAAAAAAAAGAGAGATAGCTTTTATGATCCTAAATAAAAGGAAATAATGAAAAACTGATAGCTGTTTCCAGTGGGGAGATACAGGGGACTCCTCAGAAATTAAGAGTAGGTACACAATTTCATGGTCCACACGGAAGAAAGGTAATAATGGAACATGAAGCTGGAAGTTAATTTTTGTAAGCAACAGCCTATATAATAAAAGTTAAGTCATTTATTTTATCCTGGCAAATTTCAATAAAAATAAAAGGACAAGAGTGCTTGAAAATTATTATGAAACAAATGTTCTTATTGCTTTGAGTGGTCCACAAATCATAAGCTCCTTTAATAAGTATAAAAACCCACCGAAATCAAAAAAGCAAAACAAAACATAGTCGTATGCAATGAATGTCATATATTTCTACTTTTTCTTAATTACTTATCATTTGTATTGGGGGGAACTCTCTTTTAATACCCCATGCTGTCTTTCTTTATATCAATTGTTACTCAGCCGAGGAAAAGGAATGAGCACAACAAGCCCGTTTTCTATCTGAATAAGGATACTTCTGATGGCCTTTTCATTCCCATCAGTTAACAGAACTTCTTTGACATCTGCAGAAATAGCAACCTGAAAAAAAAAGGGGGGGGGGCACAGCAAACAATGAGCAAATATGCTTGTCTGTGTGGAAGTGAAGACAGGAGTGACAAGCCTTCAGTATCATGCTTCCTCACCTATTTCTCTGTAACAATCTTCAATCTTTTTTCATTTTATGTCTGCATTATTTTAATCATTCAATCAAATCAGTCAATACTTTTATCATTCCATTTGCGGGAGCCTCTATCTTGCTATCATTCTGTTCGGTAATTGCATTGTGACAGCGGATGATGGTATTCTGAGAGGCTTTCATTTGTGGGCTTCTGTTTATCTAGTAGAGCCATCATACAAGGCTGTCACTCTGCCTTTCAGCTTGCTTCTGTCTGACTGCCTGATGCCCTTCATATAACTTTGCATTGCAGGCAGATGGCTTTGTGAGGGTAATTTTTTTGTGAGCTTTGACATGCTCGCACATTGGGCTGTAACCCTGACACATTGTGTAAGAGCGACAGGTTTGTCAAATGCCAATCAGTGTAACAATATGCTTTTATTTGTAGAGACATAAAAACTTGTCTAATGCACTGTGCTGCTACATAATATCTCCTGAATACATGACTCAGAACCCAGAGAATGGGGAACGACGTTCCTGAATGGCCAATCTAATTCAAAAGAATCTAATTACTGAGCGCTCTGGATCATGTTTGTTGGTGTAATAATGCAGGCAAAACATTAGCAGCTATATCATGGTGCTCCAACTGTGATTTGCCGGGCTATTCCTGTATCTTAGCAAATGGGACTATAATCTGAAAAAAAAAAAAATGCTTTTGCTATGGCGAAGAAAGACTGTGCGAGGCCTGGAATGTCACAACAAGCGATATTGACTACACTGAGGTAAAATGTTTCTGCTCATCGAGGCAACCATAAAATCAATATGATCCGAAAGTAAGTCAATCTAGAAGGTCTCTCAAGACCCGGCAGCTTGACCGCAGCTGATGCTGTTGACGGTTCTCTGACCCAGCAGTTGGAGGCCCTGGAACATTTTTCCTTTTGTTCCTCTCTCTGAATGGGATTGGAATTGAGAAAAGACCTACCATGAGCCCAGCCAAGCATGTCATGCCACCCCCTAGCTCACACACAGCAAGGTCCCTGAAAGAGAGAAAAGAAATGGTAGAACCCATACAAATGAGATGAAAATGGGCAGAGAGATATATATGTTACAAGAACAAATTGCCATCTGCAGTAAGAACGGCGCTACCAGGAAGTTGTAGAGACATGACGAGGCTACCTCATGTCGTTTTGCGTTTTAAAAATAATTATGAAATAGAAAAGTCACAAAGCAGGCAAACCAGTGGGGGTTCCCTCATTAGCGTCCACTGCAACATTACCACCGCTGAGCTGAAAAATCTGAGAAGGTTCCCTTTTTTTCCCCTGTCAATGGCGCTGTCTTTTAGAACTAAACTAGCTAGAGTAGCGAAAGATAATTGTTAGGAAAGGATAACACTGTTAATCCACATTCATTCCTTCAAAAACAGTTAGACAAGTAAATGAAGAATATATGTGAGTGTGTATATACGTATATTATAGTGAAAGACACACAACACACACACACACAAATACATGCAATCTTGAAATTAAAAAAAAAATCTAAAACAAACAGCAGTATTTTGGAAAGCTGAACAGCCCCCATAAAGAACAATTACACAAGGAACATTTAGCAATTAACACTTAAATAACAATAGACCCCAACACAACACAGTGAATAAACAATGCGGGGACATAATATGGTTAAGCCAGCAAACCCAGGCTCAAGGAATGATTGGGCTCTGACTTGACCGCTCCAAAGAAAAGCGGCTCAGAGTTAAAGCTGACAGTCTCGGGTGGCACTCTGCACTTACCTTCCTCTTTGTGCCTAAATATCAGCCCTCAACGTGTGACATTCCTGCTCTGGCCCACTGCCTGCTGATTGGAGCTCCAGGCAAACTTAAGCACAGTGAGATGAGCTTCTAGGGCAGCTCTGAAGCTCAATTCAGTACTGCCCTGATCTTACTTTATATGCTTATAGTCTTAAGAGTTTGTCTCTTCTTCCCAATTTGGGAAGTTTATTTCCTCAGCAAGAGGGAAAAAAAAGACAGAGAGAATCAAGGGAGGGAGAGGTGAGAAGAGAGGGAAAAGAAGAAGCAGCCAAGCCAGGACATTCGTATTCTGAAATACACATAATGAGTATTTAGTTATTCAAAGCAATTAGAAACTGGTTGGTAAATATGGACCCACAGAGCTTCAAAAACTACATATTATTGACCCAGGTTTATAAACACATATTGTTACAACACACACCTGATCTTGTAAGTATATATTGTTAAAATGATCACTAATGGCTTGTCTGGAATCATAATGGGCTATTAAGGAAGCATATATTGGATGACTTTTATAAAATGAGAATGGAAATGAAAAAACCCATATTTTCTGAGTCTACCAAACATCTTCAGCATTTTTTTTAAAAGGAATTTTTTCTTTTTTTGTAATCCCATCCATGGTTTAATCTATAATGCACATTCACAGTTGAAAACATTCACAGTTGAAAACATTCTTTTCCATTGCATGAATCTGTAATAGTAATTTATATTTTACAAGTACATATTGTTACTTTAAAATAAGGGATGGGATGGCATCTTTAAATAATATCTGTGGGGTATTTATTTATCAAATATTCCATAGTGACTTTCCTAGCAGAACTTTAAAGAATGTTTTTTTTTTTTTTTGACCTTTACAATCAGTAAGGATTGATTGGAGCTTCACTTTCGTTTCCCCAAAATCAAAGTGAAATAAAATGCCTTGAGTGGAAATCAAAAGCCTTTGACACATAGCAAAAAGCTTGCTGTGCAATATTAGTACCCAAAGGCAATTCAGATTTCTTTTTCAGAAGCAACATGTTTTCACCATGACCGTCCCCCTCCTTTCCTTCCTTCATTTCTTTCTTCCTTTCTTATATATACATTTAACAATTTAATTTGAAGAATGTAATCATGGTGATCATTAACATGTAGATACAGTACCTATAGTGGGCTAAACAAATTTTTAAGTGCAGCTTTGTACCTGAATATACTACTGTGCTTGAGGCAGTAGTAAGCCAAAACCTCTTCAGCTGGCCAGATGCCTAGAAAACACAAGAGGATATAGAGTTTTTGATCACAGAAGTTTCTTCTGTAAACACTCTCTGTAGTCATGCTCTTAAGATATGCCTTTTAAAAAATAATGTTCAGCATAAGCGATTTCAACTTGAATCAAACTTACCGTAATTATTACTAGTAACGTCATATCACATGCATTTCTTTTGTTCTGGATTATAACTTTTCCCCCAGGAAAATATCCTAAATAATTTTTACTAGATTTCAATCACAACAAAACAGCAAAAACAATAACAGCCAAAATTATAAACATCCAAAGTTAAATTTTGAATGGTATTTCAGGTAGATCTTACTCTTATACACATGAATCTTCATTTTGACCAAGTCTTTAGGATCATGAAGACCTACTGTATTTGTAGCTCATACTCAGCAAAAATCACTTCCAGGAGCAAATAAAACCACTGAGGTTATTATACCTTTCTTGTCTGACTCCATACTAATGTTTTTCATATACATAATTATTTCCTTTCTTCAACTAAAATCCAACTGGAGTATAAAATTGAGAAATGTAAGTTTCACCAACTTTGTACATCTTTCAATTTAACAATAATCCTACCCATTAAATTCTGTGGAAGAGCATTTCCTAAAATCATCATCTGTAAATCATTTATTTAGAAGACAACAGTTTTTCATGGATGAATATGAATTGCTTAAAGAGAAGATGGATGTGCTCTTAATTTTTTTCTTTATACTTTTGATATTTCAGAGATGATGTCAAAGAAATGGTAAGTAAAATGCTAAGAGAATCAATGGGTATGCATATATTAATAAACAGCAAAGAAACAACTCTGTAGAACATTTGTTGCAGAAAAGTCCCGTCACCTCTTCTTACTAGCTCAGTCTCCCTGGCCTTTCTGGTAGAAATGACAATTTGGGGGAGAAACAAAATAAGCATGAAGTGTCTGGAGTTATATTTAGTAGAAGTCAGAGAGGCAGAGTGTAGCAGTTATTACAGGTACTTAGGAACCAAACTCAGCTGGGCTCCAGCCCCAGCATTGCCTTTCCTAGTTGAGTTGACCTTAGATAGGTTACTTAACCTCTCTGTTCCTCAGTTTCTTTATCTGTAAAATAATATTATTGTAATATCAACCTCACAGGATTGCTGTGAGGATTAAACGAGTAAAGTATATGAAATGTATTTAAAACAATTTCTAAGTCATAACAAGCTCAAAGAAAAAGAAAATTGTTGTTATTCTCCTGCAAAGAGGGATAAAAGAGTGGAAGAGAGTGTGAACCTCAAACAACTATCCTAATAATCAGGACACATGGAGAACTTTTTTGACCTGATCCTAATCATTAGCTTTGGCACCACCCCAAAGCCCTAATACCTGGCATACCTCCACACAAAAAGAACTCTATAAAGATTAAAACACATAATAAAATTCTCTGAAGGAAGAGCCCAAGACAGTTTTCCACATCAAGTGAATATAATCACCACAATGATGAATTTCTTTATGCTTTTATAGTTGGTTTTGAGGATTTAAAAAATAATGATGGGGAAGAATATTTAACTAAAATTCAAGCCTTGATTAAGAACAAAAATGTGATTTCTAAAATGCATAGTCTTTTAAAACAGTTTTATAATTTTCTCTTAAAAATTATAGAGGTTGATTTTTAACTAAATTAGATATGAGAAGTTCAAAGAATAAAGTTTAAAAATCACCTAAAATTCCACCACTAGTATATAATCACTGTTAACATTTTGGACACCATTCCAAAAAAATCTCTCTAGGCATAAAGACATTTTACACAGGTGGGATCTTCTCAGGGAGGTATTCAATAATCTCATTTTGCCCCACTAAGTATGTGATGGATAGATTGCCATGATTATAAAAATATACTATACCTGCATCATTTTTAATGGCTGCCTAAATATTTTATGTTTGCATCATAGTTTATTTAACCAGTTTCCTTTTGATAGACATTTCAGTTAATTTCTAAGTTTTTTATATTATGATATTATAAACAGTGGTATAATAAAGACACATTTTTTTCCCCAACATATAATTTTTTTCTTCTTAGGTCAAATACCCAGAAATGGAAAATCTGTTGAAAAGTCAAGTACATCTCACATTCTGATATATCTAACTGCCCCTCCAAAAACTGTACCAAGCTACAACTCTAATAAGAGTGTTTATTTCCTTGAAACCTTGACCGGAGAGGGATTTTAATTTTTGCTTATTTGTTAAACTTTTAGGTCATCTCAGTACAAATCAAAACCACAATGAAATAGCACTTCACCCTGTTCTAGGATGGCTATATTGAAAAAGTCAGACAATAACAAATGTTAGTGAGGTTGTGGGGAAATTATGTAAAATGGTTCAGCCGTTTTGGAAAACAGTCTGCTACTGCTGCTGCTGCTAAGTTGCTTCAGTCGTGTCTGACTCTGTGCGACCCCATAGACGGCAGCCCACCAGGCTCCCCCGTCCCTGGGATTCTCCAAGCAAGAACACTGGAGTGGGTTGCCATTTCCTTCTCTGGAAAACAGTCTAGCAGTTTATCAAAAAGTTAAATGTAGAGTTACTACATAACCGAGCAATTCCACTCCTAGGTATGTATCCAAGAGGAAAAAAAAATGTCCACACAAGAACTTGTATACAAAAGTCCACAGCAGCATTATTCATAACAGCTAAAAAGTGGACATGACCTAAATGTCTATCAACTAGTGAATGGCTAAATAAACTGTGGTATATCCATGTAATAGACAATTATTTGGCGATACAAGGAAATAAAGTGCTGATTCATGTTACAACATGCATAGAACATGAACATTATTATGCTAAGAGGAAGAAGCCAGACACAAAGGACTACGTATTTTATTTTTTCATTTATGTTAAATGTCCAGAATAAATGAGGGGTGATTGCTTATGAGTACGAGATTTCTTTTACATGTGATGAAGGGGAAGGTTGGCGATGTGATCCATTTGAGGTATGTAACCAGCTTTTTGTCATCTGTGAAGTAGCTAGTTTAGAATTATTTTATTAATTTTTCAAGATTTATTTTTTTAATTTTAATTTTGGGCTAGAGTGGGTCTTCGGTGCTACACATGGGTTTTCCCTGGTTGCAGTGAGCAGGGGCTACTCTTCGCTGCAGTGTGTGGGCTTCTCACTGTGGTGACGTCTCTTGTGGAGCCCACACTCCAGGCAAGTGAGGGCTTCAGTAGTTGCAGCACTTGGGCTCAGCGGTTGTGACTCGTAGGCTCTAGACTGCGGGCTCAGTAGTTGTGGCACAAGGGCTTAGTTGCTACGTGGCATGTGGGGTCTTCCCAGAGCAGGGATCGTAACCAGGTCCCCTGCATTGGGAGGCAGATTCTTAACCACTGGACCACCAGGGAAGTCCTAGAATTCATTTAACTGTCAAGTTTTGTGGTTAATTTAGAAAACAAAAACACATCTGTTATTAACCTAAAGCCTGAACAAATTCTAAAATTAGTTGTCTGTAGATATTAAGAGACATGAGCCTTTAGCCAAATATGGGTCTCTCTAGATCACTTCCATTCTGGAGCTTTTTGCTTTCCCACAGTTTGTGTTAGAAACAAGTCCTGGGACTCTGACACACAGTAGCCAATGGGCAACACTGCTGACCCCTCTTTTGACTCTGACAGCCTCTACTTGCCCCAAGATGACAACAGACCTAGTTCTTGGAGCAGAGACATGACTTTTCTGTGATCTGCTGATGTCTGGAAAGTAAGCAGCAGCTCTCTTTACCTTCCCCCAACTAAGTGATCATGTCTGTCATGCAGAAGTCAGAAGCAAGTCCTCTCTCAAACCTGAGACTCAAATGGAGAGGTGAGCACATCCTTAGCTAGACCACTGACTCTTCTGGAAGAAGAAACCCATCAGTAGATATTACTAAAATGAAAAGCTGCTCATGCTGGAACAGGTAGGTAGATAAACCTCTTGGACTGTTTTCAGTGTTTATGCTCTGTCTCCTTTTACTTAAGCATTTCTGCTTTGTCTTGAACTCAGAGTGGAAATCTGTAAGAAGATACAGAATGCTCTATAAATATTTATTGGGCATCTACTATATTTCAGGCCCTGTGGATCAGCAGGGCGTCATACAGCCAGGTCACTGGAGATTCGGTTTGGTTAGGGAAGAAAACTAGTAGACAGACAACAACACAAGTAATGTGCCTAATTATAAACGTGATAAATACTGTGTAGGAAAAATAGAGAGTGCTTCTGAGAAGCAATCATAGGGGACTTAAGCTGGTTGGAGGGGAGGCTGGGAGGAGTCCACCAGGGGACACTTCTTTGTAGAAATAGTAGGCAGGCTGAGACCCAGAGGATGAACAGGCAAGAAAAGGAGGAAGAGGGGCCCAGAGCTGGAGGGAATGGTCCACAGAAGGGAGCATCATGAAATAAAGCTTTGAAGAGAAGACTTTGATGCTCCAGGAATGGAAACAGGGTCCAGGAAGCTGGAGGATAAGTGAGAAAAGAAGAGACAGGACAAGATGAGACTGAAGGGGGTGCTCAGGGGCCAGATTTCACAGGCTCAAAGGCCATGTTAAGAATTTTAATTGTGGGCTCCCTGGTGGCTGGCTCAGTGGTGGGAAATCTGCCTGCCAGTGCAGGAGACATGGGTTCGATCCCTGGTCCAGGAAGATGCCACATGTCATGGAACAGCTGAGCCTGTGTGCCACAACTACTGAGCCTGTGCTCTAGAGTCCAGGAGTTGCAACTACTGAAGCCTACGAGCCCTAGAGCCCACAATAAGAGAAGCTGCTGCAATGAGAAACCTGTGTTTCGCAACTAGAGAGAAGCCCCCGCTTGCCCTAACTAGAGAAAAGTCTGTGTAGCAACAAAGATCCAGCACAGTCAAGAGAGTGAATAAATAAATAAATCTGTTTAAAAACTGCTTTAAAAAATAATTTAAAGTTGCACCTTAAAGTAAATGATACATTTTAAGTGGCAAAGTGGTATAGTCAGATTCACATTTTAGATCATTCTGACTGCTCTGAAGAAAATAGGCTGAAACAGGGCAAGAGGAGGTGAGGGAAACTGGGTAGGAGGCTACTACAATTACCTAGGTCAGTGCTGATGGTGGCTTGGGTGATAGTGGAGATGAAGAAAAGTGGAAAGATTTGAGCTATATTTAGAAGGTATACTGACAATCTAATTATTAGTTAATTAGATGAAGGGGGTGGTAAGAGAGAGGGAAGTGTCAAGTGTGACTTCAGTTTATGGCATGAGAATTGGGCTGATGATGTATACCAGATACGTACAGGATCTTCCTTGAGTTTTATATGAGCTCCTCCTCAGGCTGCATTCATGGTACAAAAACACAGCTGGGGGTCTGAGGTCTGATTCTGGGTCTACCACTAGCAATCTATGTGGAACTGGGAAGTTATGTAGCATTTCTGAGCATTAGCATGCTCATTCATAAAATACTAGGCTTGGGTAAGATTATGCGAGGGAGGGGGATTCAAGCTATA